AGTGTCTTGCCTAACTTTATTGAGAAAATTTTTTCTACTAATTACCATTATTTTCTACATGCGGGGGTGATACATATATGAGGTGAAAAGCATATATGTATGTGCTAGGGTTAATCATGCTCGAGGGTAATTATACTATAAATTGCGCCTTGTAGAATTTCGTGACCTTCTTGCTTCATGTCTTACTTGACTTCTAGATTACTAAGAATATGGAATTAAATGTTAGAAACCAAGATTTAGTTTATTACAACTTGATTAAAATTTGACAGCATTTTAAGAAATATTTATGTGTTTAATTCAGTCATCAACTTGCTTAATCACTAGTACATTGCTACGACCGTTAGTCTTGAGATAATAGATTCTATACTTGAGTTGTAGATCATCTTTTTTAGATTTGTCGACATATTTGGACAATAAAGTTCTTGAGGATTTATTGAACTATTGCTGTCTTGAAAGTTGTAATTGAGATTCATTTGGAACACTCGTTTAACCACTCTCTTTCATGTTATTTATGCTTCCTACCTTGCTTGTCATTGATATACATGTGCTTGGTGAGGAAGAGTGTAAATCACGAAGGGTGATGCCGTGCCATTGTATATATATATTATCATGTGAGGTAGAGTGTAAAGCACGAAGGGCGATGTCGTGCCATTGTATATATATTATCATGTGAGGGAGACTATAAAGCACGAAGGGTGATGTCGTGCCTTTTCATATATTTTATCATGTGAAGGAAAGTGTAAAGCACGAAGGGTGATGTCGTGCCTTTTCATATATTTTATCATGTGAAGGAAAGTGTAAAGCACGAAGGGTGATGCCGTGCCATTTTATTTGAGTGTAAAGCACGAAGGGTGATACCGTGCCATTTCATTCGAGATTAAAAGCACAAAGGGTGATGTCGTGCCATTTCATTTATATTATCATGCTTTTAAATTATCATGAGTTCATGGCACGATGAGTGTTTCCATGCAGGCGAGGATGAGGGACATGCATTATGTTGTGATATCTTTTCCTCGTGTATACGTTCATGCCTTTACATTGAGCTTTCATTGTCGTACCTGTGTTTCCTATGTGACTTGTCGTTATTGTCTTGTCTTTTGTTCTCTAACTCAATTGTTGTTGTGTTGCCCATGCCTTGTACTTGCTTAACTTGCAAATATCATGCCTACTACCTGTTGTTATATTTACATCCATGTCGTAACTATTTTATTGCACTTTAGTATAAGTCTTATACCATGTCAGTCATTCATGCTTTTACTTGTTAACTTATAAAGGTCATGCTCTTTCTTCTTGTTTGTTATATTTACATCTAAGCCTTCCACCATGTTAGTTAGTGAAATTTATGTTCTTCTACCATACTTGCTGTCACTACTTTTGTGCCCTCTATCTCGTCTATTTCTATTTTTTATATGTTTCCGACTTGTTATTTATTACTATCTGGGTATTCTCTACTTAGTGGATATTATTATTGTAAATTATTCTACCCGGTTGGTACTGCTGCATGCACATTTGGCTAGGATGAGATAAATGCACGAAGGGTGTTG